TCAAAGGCACATGTCCAGGTTGCGGACTCAATCCCCAGTAGGGGGCGTGCAGGAGGCAGCAGATCAATGATTCTTTCATCATTGATGTTTCTCTCTCTCTCCCCGCACCCACCCCCATCCCTTCCTCTCTGAAATCAATAAAAACATTTAAAACAAAACAAAAAAACCCTTCTAGTTAATGAGTATCTGTGTTCCTTAAAATACTTTTGTTAATAATGACCAGATGACAACAGAAATGAATACCAAACTAGTGATAGTATGGACCACCAGGATATATGGCCCCTGGCACTACCGTATTCTTTGTCCCTTGGTCTTGTCAATCCTTAGTACCTGCGTTAAAATATTTAAAAATGTGCAGTAACAGGAGTCTTTAGCGGAGAATAACTTTAGTGGAAAACTGCTGGGTTGTCCCTTCCACTCTGACCCAATCTTCCCTCAAGGAAAGATTCTGTGATATTCTATGGAAGTGCCTGTTTCGTGTGTCGGTCTTAAGATTCCTCCTCCTTACCGTAGCCATTACGTCTTTGCTCCATCATCAGGCAACTATTGAGGGACATTGATCTGGCTAAGGAAAGCCTGCAGCTCAGATTCCAAGGACGTTCATTTCCAAAGGAAATGAACAAGACACACCCCCACCCTACCCCCAACCCGAGATGCTTTGAAGACAGCCCAGGAGCCACGGGGGCTGCTGCAGCATCAGGTTTGCACCAAGAGAGAGAAGTAGCTGCCAGCTGCCAGGGTTTGGGGAGATCGGACTCAGAGGCGCCTTCAGAACAGGAGACCCATCCGCTCCCAGCCACCCAGCGGGAGAGAAAACTAAACTGCACGCCCTGCCCCAGCCTCACTGCCATGACTTCCCCGGGAAGGAGGGGATCAGCATGTGAACTGCAGGTGAGTCAGGTGTCTCTCCACCACGCCGGGCCCCTGCACTTCACAACTGCGGGCTGAATTATTACACTGTTCCCTGCACCTCCCCTTCTGGCTCCCCTCCCAGCACAAACCCATAGGTCAAGAGTTCAAAGCTCTCCAGTCAAAGCCAACCCCCTAACCTATTTAATAAAAAAAGAAAAAATAAGCTTCCTGCAATCCTGTGAATCAGGAAACCCCAATCCGTTTATGGCTCTGGCAGCTCATTTAAAGCCACTCAGGACTGTGCACCTACCAGCCTCTTGTCCAAATCTAAATCTGAAACCCCCCTTAGCAGTGGTTCTCAACCTTCCTAATGCCACGACCCTTTAATGCAGTTCCTCATGTTGTGGTGACCCAACCATAACATTATTTTCATTGCTACTTCATAACTGTAATTGTGCCACTGTTATGAATCGTAAAGTAAATATCTGATATGCAGGATGTATTTAGGCGACCCCTATAAAAGGGTCGTTGGACCCCAAAGGGGTCACGACCCACAGGTTGAGAACCGCTGCAAAGTGAAACATCGTCAGAAAGGCAGTCAACTGAACCCGCTTGGGAGCCTCCGCACAAACAAGGCGATTCGGAGGGGTCCGTCGGTGTCGCACCTTCCCGGCCCGGCCCGGCCCCCACCGGCCCATTTCAGAGACGAGGCTTCGGCCTCGGGAGAAACCGAGCCCCGCAGGCGGCCCGGAGACACTGCGACAGGTCCCAGGCGGGCGAGGCGAGGGCGGCCTCGAAGACACAGTGGGAGTGGAGGCCGGGGCACGGAGTGCGGAGGAAGCCGCGGAATTCGCCGAGGGGACCACGGCGCTCAGCCAGCGCCTCG